GCATTTATAATGGTAATGTAGTTAGTGGGTTTGATTTGTTTATGTAGATATAATGTTTTTGCTACTGCCTTGTTACTCTTTCACGCCAAAACTACTGAACGGATTTGAATGAAATTTGGTATACAAATGGTCTAGACCCTGAGAAAGGCTTTTTATTGGGAAAAGGTGGTTGTAAGGGGTTAAAAGGGGGGGGTGAAAGTTTGTATGGAAATTCGTGGTTTTTGAAGCTAGAACAATGAAACTTTCTTCTTTGGCTTTTTGGGAATGGGAGTGGGAGTGGAAGTGGGAGTGGGAGTAGGAGTGAGAGTGAGAGTGAGTGTAGGAATGAGAGTGGGAGTTAGAGTAGAAGTGGTGCGCGGTAGGAGAGTGTTGCGGCAAAGCAGCACTTATAAGTTACAATATAGATAGACTGTCCTAAATGCGCTCTTGCATAAATTAATAACCAGCCTAAATAATTAAAAATTCTACCTCAAGTCACTATTCCACGCGGACGAAGTCGTGGGCACAGCCAGTAACTTATAAAGCAGATAAACAGATAAAGCGTTTTTATTCACTTCCTTCAAAATCTGTTTCATATTACACGAATTTAGTATTTGGCGAATAATATAGGAAGTAATTATGCAGTTAACATTATTATTCGAAAAACGATACACAATTTTACAATTTTAGAGTAGTAAATTTTCGTAATTTAAATTTGGTTTTGTTGTATAGATTTTTTGTAATTCGTAACGGTTATAGTGAAGAAGAAACTTGTTTAATGCACTTTGCATTAAACAAGTTTCTTCTTAAAATTGTTTAATGCACTTTGCATTAAACAAGTTTCTTCTTAAAATTGTTTAATGCACTTTGCATTAAACAATTTTCATTAACAGATACAATGGAATACGGATTCCATTTGAAAAATACAAAAACAAACCAAACGGTACAAAATGTACTTATAAACCTAAAAAATACAGCAAAAGAGACATCTAGATATTCCAGAGCAATTTGTCTTCGTAGCATCTAACGCTGTTTATAAATATTATCGGTAAGAACAAATTATATCCTACGATGTCGTAATCTATCATTGTCTACAGTCGAACATTGCGTGTTGAATTATATATTTATTTAATAAAATTGTGAAACACGTATATGACTGATTCATTTGTAATTTTGAAACAAGAAACCCAAATAACTTTATTTAAATAAAAATAAAAATATATTAGGTGCGACTCAACCGTCCGAATTTATGATGAGATGTTTATTGACTAAAAAAATCATATTATCCCGTATATCAAAACCAAGAAAGTCTTAGGTCATGGGGGGAAATAAAGTTTTCATTTAGGTCAAAGTTATGGGTAATTTGTAGTAACAAAAGACATAAATCTAATATTTGACGGGTAGGTATTGTTTAAGAGATTTTTTTTCCATTTTCACAGCATCCCGCCGAACTGAACTCTTGTCTGCTGCAACTTACAAATAAGGCTCTACCTGAAATTACGATAGAATAATTATACAAGGGATTTAAAATTACACAACTCTAGAATGAGAATTGGCTTTGGTGAGAGCGTTCTAGTAATTGGTGGGTAGGCCTAGATCCTATTACGATATGTGTTCAACTAACGATATTATATAGCAGCAATACCCTATATTGTATTGCATTGCCCATTTGAAAGGCAACATCAATTAAAAAACTACTATCACTCCTAACCTCTATCTTAGCTGACAACGGTTATAACATCATTGACGCTGAAAATAAAAAATATATATATATTTCCTTGGTAGGAAAGACGAATTCCTATAACGCGGGTACTAAAGTAGCAGTTTTTGATTTTAGAGACAACCCTCCATCTTTAGTCTCCCCGTACCCACGGCTGCTGCAAAGTATCCTAAACCATATTTAAAGTACTTTTCAAAAAAGTTTCTACTAATATATTTCGCGCTTTAAACCGTTAAAGTGTTTTGTAAAATGCGTACTACTCTCGTTACGACATCTCTGAGAAAGTGGAATGGAAGTATGCTTTACTGGCCGATGATCTAATTAAAGACACAATCTGTGGCCGTGTTTATCCAGCCTTACAGCTCCTCAACAGCTTAAGCCAGCTAAATTGATTTAGGATTTGAAATTATATCAGTGTTGATTGCTTCCGGCGTAGGACGTTGACCAATTTCCCCATTTAGCTACGACGTGCGATTATGTGCATTTACATTATACGTGGCAGGATATGCGGGGAATTAGGGACTATAAATAATAACGCAATTAGATCGACACGGGCTTAGATACTGAAACTGTTAATTAATTATTTAGTAATTTTAACTAGCATCGAGGATATACTATTATATATTATATTGAAACGCCATCGACGGTTTAAATTGCAAAAACATATCTGTTAACTGTTTTTTAACTATTTTAAGTTTGTGTAAGGAAAATATTTATTATAATTTTAGTGGGTACGAACGTTCAAAAAACTTCTTAATATTGAAACGTTAAACTTTTAAAACAATTGTAAATGATATTAGATATAAATAAGAGGCTGATTTAATACCAACTTTGTGAGTCGTTGAATGACGGAATTTAGTTTCAACTTCACCACACCGATTCAAATTGTCTAAGTTATTTTCGTACAGTCGGTTCGTCGGTTATTGTATTAAGCCGAGATCCATAAATCATAATCCGAATACGAAATTACCAGCACCTGGGCCCAAAGCACATCACGGCCATTTGATGCGTTACACATGAACTTTATGTTTTTGCAAAATTAATCATATACATTTTTGTCATCAAATCTATCGGATGGGATTTATAGATTTCACTAGATGGTAAGGGGAAATGCTCAGCCACACAATATTGCTAACAAGATGCGCTCTCGACCTATTTCGCAAATATTCGGAAATCCACACATTGATACCACGCGATTAAACTAGACGGCTTTTTCAGTGGATGGTGGCCGAAAAAGCCGCATTTCCCGACGAAGTCAAACGTGTGTCAGAAAAATTATAACTTTATTATGAAACATGTTAGACACGGTAGGGATCGAACCCCCACCCATTGATTATTTCTTCCACCGATCTCAACAAGTTTTTATTTTTTTTATTCTGAAATGTGCAAAACTTTCATAACGAAATTCAATGTAGGACACGAACCAACCTCCAGCGAAAAGCGGTTTAGACTTCCGTATGTGCAAAGCTAAAATAGGTCGATAACACATCTCAATTAAATGGCATAAGGGTATCTCACCTTCCATCAAATACCTTGAAAGGAATGCCTTACAAAATATATTAAATAGGAAATTGAACCAAAAATTTTGATACGCTTTATAACCCTATTAAACATGAAGGAACGAATAAGCTGTAAATACGTCGTCCTATATACAGGGTGTCCCAAGAAGTAGTGTCAAGCGGTAGTCCCAAGATAGAACACACCTTGGAGCACCCGAAACACCCCAACTTAAAATATTAATAGGTAGCTCTGTAGCTCATAAATAAGTTTAAAAACTGCGCCAGACACTCAGCTTTCATAATCATTATAAAAAAGGACCACATAATACGCTACTTTTGCTATTAACGGACCTCAAAGACAGATAGGCGTAAAATTAAATTAGTAACAAACATTACACCCTTTTTACAGTTGTGTAACGAGATCGGGATGAAGCAGAAAAGCGGCGGCAAAAAGGCCCGCACTAAAGAAGCCGCTTTTCGTCTTTTAGTTTGCGAAACTTGTTCCTTGTTTTTCTTTTACGACTCTCTTCTTCCCTTGACCTTTATTTTAATACACTTGTTAGATCTATATTTGCGGCACTAACTTTATACAGTGCTATTCTACTTTATTGCTGAAGTCGCCAAATTATTTCTTAACCGATAAGAATGACCTATTCTTATTATAGACGAAAAAGGTTTCCGATTGGCGTTTGAACACTTATCCGTGGTTCCTGAGTAAAATCTAGACCGAGCCGCGACCGTGTTTTGTAACGAGTATTATCACTATTATTCACAAAACGTCGCTCAATAAGACGAATTCCAGGCACATAATTCATTTATACAGTAAAATAAAAGAAACAATATCCGAAAGTTCCAACTTAACGAGAAGATTTCGAAAAATACATCCTAAATAAAACAAATAATTTGGAGTTTTCTCATCGTCTAATATGAAAACTGGCAAAGGATCACTCAAACTTTGCCAAACCTGTTGGGAAATCTCTTTTTTTTTACAGTTCCAAAACAACCATTATTAGCTCTTCTCACAAGTCCCACAGCTGGGATTATGATGGGTACTATTAGTTAACATTAAATCTGCACTAACATTATAAGGTACAAGAGTTCGTTTGTTTGAACGCGCTAATCTCAGGAACCACTACTTTGAACTAAAAATTGTTCCGATGTTAGATAGATAGGAGCGGAGAAAGAGTGGAAAATAAATAAAAAAAGAGGAAGTAGAGGGAAAACTGTTCAAGAATTAAAAAAATATGTTTGAAAATTATTCATTGAATGTGATATCTCTCTTTTAAGAACTTATCTCGCAATAACTGATTTTTTTGGCTTTCAAATGTGACCAAAATGAACGCACTGTTACCAATCATTTGATAGAGTCGTATCAACAACACGAACAAGAATATACCACTTGGAAATAACAAAACAACGCTTGCCGGATCAGCTATTTAAATTAAAATTTTTAAACATTATTAATAAGGCCATATTATTATTGTTCTTAGGCTATAGATCTTATGAGTTTGAAGCTTACAATCTACATATATTTTATTTGTGTAAATATATTTCATAAATTTTAAAATTGAATAATTTGTTTTATGTGCCTTTACAACGCAGTTGAATAGATAATTTTCATATAACACCCGGACTACCTTAGATTAACGATAAAATTCGTCATAACACGTTTTCACACAAACACATTAAAATTATAACAATACGCCCCTTCAGCGCGGTCCTTGAGGCAAATGCGCCGGAATCGCGGTATATAAGCTGTTACTTTGTAAGAACAGGCATCAGTCACTCAGTGCATAGACAACATGAAGTTCTTGGTGAGTACACACACGGACCGGATGCACTCATATCGATAAGGTTTTTGATAGACGATGGTCCCGAAAAGGAATACCAGGTGTTTTTAATAAGGGCTTGTAGGCAGTTGTACCTACTTTTATTTCTATTTTATTCTATATACGCAACTTTAAACTACATCGTACGAAAGGACTACATATTTTTACAAGTCTCTCTTTTTTTCTATCGTTGAACAGTGAAAATCAAAAATGTTTACGTTAGTCGTTACTTCATAATTTAATCAAATTTAGGCAGACACGTTCCTTTTGTTGAGCAACTCCGCTAAGATTTTCCCATCCATTATTATCCAAAACTAAGTAATCACAGCTAAAGCGATTCTCATTAAATAGCCTCTCAAGCGAAATACCTCGGTTTTCACGCATCGAATTGAATACCTTCAGAGCCCAGAGCAAATCGTTCAACAATGGATGAAGCAAGATAAACAATGGCGATTGTTGTGCGAAATTGTTATCTAGTAATTAATTAAGGAACATATAATTCCTTCGCCGTTTACTTTAAATATTGCTCAACAACTTTATTGACACTCAATCGACGCTGCTTCAGAGGTTCCCTCTTTTGTTCGTGAATTAACACGCGTTTAACGATGTGCGCAATTAAATGAGAATCAAGCGCGCCATTTCGTATACAAAATAGTTTTGGTCGAGTAGGTAACTAATATATTTAGCATTTTGAACTGTTAAAAGTGTTTTAGTAAAATAAAATCTAAGAACCATTAAACAACATAAACATATTAATTGAAGTTGCATCAAAAATTCTCAAATAGTGGATTAGACTTTGGTAGACTATTTTTTTTACTACGAGACAACTAGGTTATAATTAAATAGTAATGTTTTTTAATAAATCCCTTTTAAACCGTTGATATTCTGGCCCAAGTGCCTTTTACGCAATCGCAACAATGTTGTTACTCAAAGGACATCCTGTGTCATATCGAAGGCCAGGTACGCTGTACTTATACATTACATGATGTTAGGACAGGTTCAATTAAGATAGAACACAGTATTTTAAAATCCTATTCATTCTGCTTGACCTTTCCAATTTCAGATTGTAGCAGCCCTCGCTATCGCGGCCGTGTCCGCTGAGGAAGCCAAGAAGACCGAGAAGCGAGGTGTAGCTGGACTCGGATATGGCGGACTTGGCTACAGCGGGCTTGGCTACGGTGGTAATGGACTCGGCTATGGCGGTTACAGCGGACTCGGGGGCTACGGAGGATATGGAGGTTATGGTGGTTATGGAGGCTACGCCGGATACGGTGGATACGCTGGTGAGTCTCAAAATTGATCTTACATCTTTCAAATCGGATGGAAGACGGTTCGTCGGTTGTTAAAGTCAAAGGATTTATGTTCAAAGTTTTAATTAAAAAGCATTAAAAAAATTAAATTCGATTCCGCTTGATATTTTCGTGTCGCAAGAATATATAAAACCAATATTCATATTAAACAGATGCCTTGTCTTTTACCGGATCGTGACGATATATAAAACAGATACTTAGCAATGCAAATAAATCGTTCCTTTTTATCGTTTAATAGTTTAGCTTTCTTTTGTTACAATTTTCGAAATGCATCTAGGACCTTATTGAGCTGAGTTATAATATATTGAAAGTAGGTAATAATTTGTATTTTGTGAGAAAACGTATCTGAATGGTTTGGGCACAGACGGGGTTATTAAACAGACAAATAAACTTTGCTCCGAGGTTCAGAGCTCGAGATATAATTAATTGTAAATAAAAGTAACGCGATACTTACTAGTACAAATATTTGCACGTCCCTTTCAGTATAAATTGCATCTAATTAAGAAAAGTATTTATAAAGAGATTCGTTTGAATTGCTCGATTTGCAAACACTAACGAACTCCTAATTTTATTCATTGCTAATTAAAAGCAATAGCGCAGTATAAGGCTCGTTACACACTTCCGATCTTCAATTGCCAATGCAGATTTTAAATGAGTCATGTGAATAAAGGATTATATATTTATTGACTGCGAATGATTTATAAAAATTAATAAACAAATTTTCCAAATAAGCTTTATTAAAAGAAATGTCGAAAACCTTTTAGTAAACAACACGTAGGGATACATCCTTAATTCCACATCTAGGAATCGATTAAGCCCCAACTGTCGTATAAATTGCGCGGCAAACAAAGATGGCGGATGCAGCGAAATGGCTTTAATTGTCGAATTTAGTTAGAATTAGTCGCAAGATTCACAATTATTTCGTTGTTTGTGATAACGTTATTGAATAGGTTCGAATTAAGTATTAACAATGTATTTTACTTTTTAATTTAATTCAGCTTGGTTCAGGTCTCTTTTTCACACGAGAGGGTTTAAAACCCACCGCGCTGCTTCAGTGGGGTTTGTTGGGTTTTAACAACACCTTTGAGTTTTGGTGGCGACAACTGGGCGACAACAAATAAAGTAACTAAAATGTCATGTATAAGCAGTCGTGATATGTTTGAGACGATTTTGTTTCGACATATAAAATATCTTATTCTTAAGAATTGCCTACAGAGCCTATGTCCGTATTGTTGTCATAAATGAACACAACGTGGGAAATATGTCACCCTTGACACAATTCGTCTATCATTATCCCCCGTGTTGCTACTACTGCTGAGAGCGCGTTAATTATCCTGACACGCAAATTGAAAGCTTTTTGCCTCAAACTAATGATGTTAAATGTCTATCAAATGACTGAGAAACTGCAGTTTAATTGTCGAACAGTTAAAAGTAATATTTTCAACTTCATCAGATTCACTGATAACTTGTAGAAGGCGTAACAAACACGTTTGCAAAGTTCTCTTTAATTCGTATGAGAATAAAAGAACAATGATTTCGCGGCGTTACAGCGACTCAACATTTTTTGTTTATTGGAGCGCCCACTTATGCTTACTAGCCTAGTCCTCCATACTACACTTAATTCACATAAATTGTATTTTATCGATAACACGAACTGAATGAGTTTACGAATACGAGACTCGCAGTAGAGGGTATACACCTGTTTTAAACGAAACCACGTTAAACTATGACAGGCGCTCATTTTCTGAAAGCAAAATCCCATTTCGGTTGAGAAAAAGTAATTTAATTTTACGAAAATATATTTCTATGCTTGTTCAACGAAGCGTTGAGTATTATTTTCGTTGAAATTTAAAAAAATTTCCCCTTCTAGAATATTATAGATCTAAAACAATTGTCAAAGAGAGGAAAATTGAAATATACACATATTTTAGTTTACCTATTTAAAATAAATCCGAAATAGAACGAAATATTTTTTCCCGCTGTCGATAAAATCCAAATTGTAGAGCCTGTCTTTTTATTTACAAAAAGCGTACTTATTTCTTAATTTTGGATATAATATAACGTATAAGTACAAATTGCCCTGTTGTCTTAAAACAAAGCTGAACACAGAACACGAAAAACCTTAAAGCAACAGTAATGAAAAATTCAACAATTTCACAGCGAAACTTCTGTACAGGTAAAAGTTTATATCAAAAATATTTTTTAATTTGCTTTCGTCTACATACTTTACAACTACAATATTACAATTTTCAACTGGCGTCGGAGTTGCCTTGTACAAATGAATAGTTAAACGGAAAAGCTAGTTTAAGTCAGTGCTATATTCTAGGTCCTATATATTAAATTTCAACGTGTTCAAATTTTATTGAATATTCGGAGACTAGTTCTTATGGCGTTCATTTAAAATAGCTACAATAACAAAAATTGGTTTCCTCAAACACGATTGCTTTTTTGTCCAGTAACAGTCTGATATAATGTACGATCGATCATGCGGCAATTTTTTTGTGACTATGACCTTAGCATTGGACATTCTAACATTGGGTTTGTCTAATCATCCAATGATCGCTTGATTGTAATCTTATTCAGTGAATAATCAATTCCTATATAATTCACATAGGGCGCCATTTGGAAAATTTGTTACAAGTAGATATTTATAGTCCGAAAATCAAACCTGAGAAACTTTCTGGTTTATTTGCTATTGAGAATTCTTAGTAATGTCTACTTGTCCATTTATTTATGAATTTTAATAACGAGATGTAACGACTTCTCTGAAGCATTTGATCGAAGGTTTATGTATTGCCTGAGGCCATGTTGAAAAAGACGTTTTGATCTTCTCGGTTTACAAACCGTTACTGTCTTTTATTAAAAAAAAGAACTTCAAATTCACACTCAATGACCAATTCCTTTTTTCTTATTTAAAATTGCTGGACTGCGATATTAATGTATGTAAATCTTTCAGCCCCAATTGCCGTAAGCAAGGTCGCCTACACCACTGACCACACTGGCTACAGCGGCTTGGGAGGCTATGGTGGTTACGGTGCTTACTCTGGTCTCGGTGGTTACGGTGGATACTCCGGATTAGGTGAGTAGAGTTCCACAACAGATGCGATTTAGGGGTTTAACTGAATCGGGAACGATACTGTTTGCCAAATGTAACTTTTACGGAATAAAAAAAAATAAACTAGTTAAAAGCTACTACTTGCTACACTGGTTTACGTCCAGTCTGAATAATCTATGATTCCTACACTTTTAGACACTACTGAATGGATTTTAATGAAATTTGACAGTAAAAATAGTTAACACATCAGTCGGCCATGTAAATGGATTTCGGCTACTTTTCCTCGCAAAACTGTTCCCCGATCTTTAATTTGAAATGCGTATTTTCAGGTTACGGATCGTACGGTCACGGAGGCTACTACGGTTCTAACGCCGGTTACGGTGGTCTCGGATACGGAGGCTACGGTCACGGCCTCGGCTACGGATACCACTAAGCGAGAAAAGATCCCGCTAGACGGCACTGTACTGCATTTAAAGCCTCAGAAGAAAAAATACTCTATCACACTCTCAACGAAAAAAAATATGGGTTAAAGTTTAATTAAAAATGAAGCTTACATAGCTTTATTGAGGATTTTAATTGAGTTACAGCGCCATCTCTTGACAACTTAGAACGATTATGTGTTCATTCAATACTCGACAGGAGAGCTCACATGACAATATTAACATCTAATGATATTATTTCATATTAAACTCTCTTTTGTGATATTTTGTACAATGAATTTTATGTGTATCATTTGTAAATATGTAACAAATATACTATATATACTACAATTTGCCTATTATTAAAAATTAATCAAAACCCCGTTGCAACAAAAAAAAAAACTCACACATATAAATCGTAATAGTTTCCAGTAAAATACCATCATAATGGTAAAAATAAAGTAAAGCAATATTTTATATCTTCAGAGTAATTTTGACTCAGGTTAGTGCTCCAGAAAATGTTTTGATTTACGGAAGTGTGGTATGAATTTCAAAAAGCGCCATCTCTCGTCAATGCATAGTATAAATAAGAGCAACCATATTAATACAAATATCTTCTATACACACAAGACATACAAAAAAATATCCATAACTGTATCATATTGACATAAAACGTTCTATCCTCTAAGTACATACTCTCTGTCCTATGGTCCAGTGGCCGTCTCCTGCGTGACATACACCATTATTGTAGCTTATCTGTCTGCCCACAAAAAAACGAAATACAACTATATAACGTAAGGCGGGATCAGGTATACAAACGCGTACATCACGTACAAGTTTTTCAAAACGCACTAGATTCGCGGAAAAAATTACCAAACAATTACTATTGTAGCTTCTACAATAAACAGGCGTTATAACTTAATTAATCACAATTGGCAGTCCCGTATCGAAATAAGAACTGAGCGCGACGGACTCGCAACACCAGAGAGCGTTTGACAGCGCGCGCTGGCCCGAATCAGCCGTTGCGTCGTGTCGCGAAGAACTCAACTACCCAAGAAAAACATAACTACCCTCCAAAACATGATTAATTTATTTCGAACAATAATTATGTATTAAATTAAATGCAGTAAATTATTTAGTTCCACAGCACCACAATACCACTGTAATAAATTGTATGTGTCGACAGTGACACCCAATTAGTTAAATTAGTTTGTAATCTCTCGTACGCCGTGAATAATTAATGAAATACTAACAATATTAATTGAACTCAATTGACGATTCTCGATTTCATTATTAATATTTAACCGGTTCTAAGCTCTAGCGTAACGAAATAGAAGTGTCAGCACGATGATTTATTTCAAAATGACGGAGAATTCGAACCTATTCTTTGTTAGACGAGAACAGACAAGTGCGGCGTTCACTTGATAGAAGGTAAAATGCTTCAGTCGTATAACATCTAGTCAAGATAATGCCATGATTCCCACGGCTGGAACTGAGCTTCTCGGCTTTTCATCTGTGGACTTTGCTCTGTGGCTGGTTTGTGACCCGTGTGGAGTTTAGATATTACTACCATCAATTTATAATATCCTAATATCCAGCGAAGTCCCACATGTTTCAGAAACTAAACTAACATATTTCAGAATATAATAATATTTTTTTTTAATAAATACGTATATCAGGTAATATAATTTATGTTTCTACATAATGGATTTGGTGGATCATTACACCAAGGAGCCACTGAACGTAAAGCAGACCTCAATATTTCATATAGAATATCTATGAAATGAACTGAAGTACGTATCAAGTATTTCATACAGCTACGCGTCATTTATAATTATAGATAATTTATAATTTTGAAAAGAAATACGCCTTTACTTTTGCAATTATTTGAAAAATCCCAGGATGGATGGGTGGATTAATTAATGGATTATGAGAGTAATAGCATCATCGGCCCGCTTAAGTGCGAACGTGGCTAATCAGGTTAGGTGAAGCTAGCGGCAAAGCCTTACGCCGGATATTAATTTCCTTACACTACACGACGTATACCTACATTTAGTATGCATAGGTTATACACAACTTCAAATTTTGAGCTTAACATAATTCCTTCGAAAATAATTGTATATATTTAATTACTATTATTATACTACTCAAAAATAAGAACATAGCTGAGACAGCTAAAGTATTGGCAAGTAAGTTTATTTTATTATTATTGAATTCGGTGTATTTTCAAACAGATAAGTTAACTAGCATTACTCTGTAGGATTGTAGTATAACTTTACCGAGTTTAAAACAAATTGTATGTGACAAGACGTAGTCTTGGAATACTCGAACGTATCTCGAGCGAAGAGCTCGCGGTCTCAAATGCATTTCGCTTCGTCTCATCAATACATTTGCAGCTATTAAACCAGCTAGTCGATGTTTATAATCGTATGTATATATCAACTACTAACGACTACTTTCTACCGAAGGTATAAGATGTACTTTGGCCGCATGGCCCGGGGCTTAGGACTCTTTCGCGACAGACTAGACAAATAGATTGTCGCGGAAAAAGAGTATGACAAGAACAAGCCGAGATAAAAAAAAATAGTAAAGGGAGCTGGCTGAAGGAAAAAAACAAAAAACAACTTTTGTTAGCGCGTAGCCTATAGCATAACGTCTAATAATGTAACGATTAGAAACCATACCGTGCTATTATGCTAATAAGATAATGGCTATAAATGAAGTTTTCTAATGAAATATTGGCTATAAATGAATTCTCTAAATTAATGGCTAAATGAAGTTGTGTTGGTTAGAGTATTTATCGAGTAATGATATATATATATAAAATATATATATAAAATATTGTGCTGTGACTAATAGGAGCAAAGAAACAGCGGGTAATATGGAAAAAGACGGGACGAATTATACATCTTTGCGGGTTTTTGATGCGTGCACTGCGAAAACGGTTTTACATACCCGAAAAATATGTTTAAAAAAAATTATTACTCTGTAACGATCTAAAATGTCCGGGAGAGTATATGTCTGTCTTTAAAGATTAACTTGCGGACGACGTCGTGGATGACAGCTATAATTGACAAAGATAGAGAGGATGTTTGCAAAAGCAAATTTTGATAGCCACAGTAGGTTCTATTCTACGCAGACGAAGTCGCGGTTACAGCTTGTATTATATACATATAAGTAGTGTAAGAATTGAAACAAGTATTTTGCAAGTAAATTGTCCGTTATTTACGCGAGTAGTACATATTTAAATAAACTTTAAATGGTTTAACACGCAAAAAGTATAAGTTAACTTATTTTTAATTTTATTGCAAAATGTACTAACTGTTTCGCGGACGGGACAGCCGCTAAAAAAGTAATGAAAATTAAATAGTCTGTGCTTCATTTTCTGGATAAAAATTGATTAGGGCGATCAAAGTGTCACCTGGATTATATTAGTACAGTTAACGGCGTTCCTTTCAATCGCATCTTTCGTGGCCCCACATCCATCTCTAGTCTCGTATTCTCGCCTATATTATTAGAGCGATGTGGCTGCTCCTAATAAAACCGATACATGTCACTACGTTTACGTCCTCACTACTCTCATATCGGAATGGACGAGTCGTGTGTAGCTGATTCATTCCTTATCTACTGGGGATCTTGTTTCTCGGTGCGATAATGTTTCTCTAAGCTATATGTAATCAAATACAGTAAGCGAAGAAGAAAAGTTTTAATTACTTAATACACTTTTAATTACTTTCAACACAAAACGCTAATATAATATATATACCTACTACTACTACTCACAATATACACCCAAATCTCAGAAATTTTAACATAGTAACATGAATGATAAATATTAGTTTTCAAAAGTTATCATTTATTAGTACGATTGTCCTTTATGAATGCCTAATGCACGCCCAAGTCCGGCATTGTTGTGTTGTGGAGAGTTTAGCATTATACCCTCCGTGTCGAACTGCTAGAACTAACCCTACCAGCGGGAGTGGACCGGAACCCCTACCGGTGACCACGGCCACTGCAAACGAAACTTCGGTCAAGAATGGTTTAAAATAAGTTCTGTAATATATATTACATTTAAAACTGTTAAAAATGTTTTATTTAAATATATTTTGCGTTTACACCAGTCAAAATTGAATATTCCCAAGTTCTTTCATAAGGCCGCATGAAGAACGGCTCCCGATTTATTAACCCTCGTGAACCCTTTTACCTGACGTTATGAATTTATCTTAATTTTAATTAACGCACAAAGGCCCCTTAATGTGCCGATTTATTAGTGTGACGTTTATTTGCTTCATGTCGGGCTTTATTTACATTCTACACCAATCATATTTCAAACTAAAATTTAAGCTTTCCTACATCGAATGATTGAAGTTGAAAGTTGATTCAATTCATTAATGACAGTTACTTGCTACTAACTTAACATAGCTAGTCACTCGGTCTTTCGTCAATAGGCTAAGTGTAAGTAAAATTTCGTTCTAGAAAATGAATATCGAATACTTAACACGCCTTATAACGAACGGTAAGTTCGGGAATGTACATTGTGCCCCGACAATGGCTTCTGAGGCATTCTCTGGAAGCGAGTTAAATATTGAATTTACAATGAGAATTTGAAAAGGTCCCGAAAGAATGGGCCCACTTCACAACGGTCCATTCGATTGTGTGCTTCAATAGCGTCTTGTCTGGAATGATAATCGAATATCTCAGTCGGGATCGATTTTAGATGAGGTCCATCGAAAAACCAAGTCTAGCCCTCGTATTTAAACTTTAACTAAGAAGTGGGTTAGTGAAAGTATAGTTTTAGTCCGACGTTTTGGCTGCTGCAAAGTGGAAATATATTTCGCGTTTTAAACCGTTAGAAGTGTTATAATTGATTTGGTACTCGCGCAAAATAGTAAAGATGCCTTGTAATCGTTGGATAAAGACAATTAATATAATTATAATTTATATTAATCTTTAAATATTTAAATATTTATTTCACTTAGTTTTTGATATACTATATATTCCCGTCAAAAGCTGG